CTGGATCTTAGTACTCACGGCCACTGTTTCTCCTGCGTTATCAGCAGTCCCTCTGTCCTTCTAGCCAGGTGTGTGCATCTGCACTTGCATATGTACCTATGCGCAGAAACATGCCGAGAGGGATTTGCATCCAAGGCTAAGGTGGTTGTTCTGGGGCTTTGGAAATGGGGGTGATATTTCCCTTTTTTCTGTGAGCTTTTCACTGTCTTTTTTAAAGGCTAAAAAAATAATAAAATTTGGTCATTATAAGATCATCAATGTAGAACATAATGTAGAACATAATTTTTGATACATTTTTGAAATAAGAGGGTCTTATAAGAAAATCCCCATCAACCAGACCAAGAATCATTGCTTCAATTCCTTTTCCTAATCCACTGACACCGAATAGTCTCTTTGTATTTAATCTTTCACGGCAGACTGACCTCTACCATTTCCTCTGCTGAAGAGGTCTGGAGAAGTCCTTAGACAGTAAAATGGAGACTATTTATTCTAAAAAAAACATAGAAAGAAGTAATACATCACTATACCTAGAAGAGAGGCAAATCTTTTGAAACAATACTTCACATGTGTGCAGGTGAGAACAAAAACCCTTCAGCTAATACTGAAAAAACACCATGCTCTGTATCATTAGTATTTACATGGCAATAGAGCTATCTTAAATTAAGAAATGAGGTCAAGAGCCTTTCAAGTGCTTCTGTGACAATATCTTTTGCTTCACAGGTCTTAGAGGTCAGCTGGGTTCCTAACAGGGTGACACTTCATTCTGTCAGCTACTTAGATTTTCATTCATGGAACTCTAACAAACTATAAATGTAAAACTTGAGAGAATTTCAAAATATTATTTCTCAGGCTGAGCACAGAGGCACATGCCTGTGATCCCAGGCAACTAGGAACCTGTCTCAATATAAAATGAAAAGGGTTGGGGATGTAGTTCAGTGGTAAAGTACCACTGGGTTCAATCTCTAGTATTGAAAACAAAACAAAATACTATTTTTCAGCTTTAAAGACATTTTCTCAATTGAAATTATAATTAGATAAGTTTAAAATATTATTCTTTGATAGTTATAAATACTTTATGAAAACTTCAAATGAGATTATGAAGCTAACCAGCAGATATTAACTACTAAAATAGAGGCACATTTTCTTTTAAATATCTGAGATTCTGTCTACAGTGCCTCTGTTATATTCATTCAGATTATTCTTATATTCTAAAACAATGAAGCTTCTCAACTGGTGGAATGTTGCCAGGGCATTTGACAGAGTCTGAAGGCAACATAACCAAAAGGCATCATTTAAATTGGCTGAGGGAATGAATGGGAGCCTTATCGCAGCAGCTGAAGGCCGCATACAATTAACATCTGTCAACTTTCACAGGGCCCCATATAGAACAGGCGGCCTACAGCCCTGCAGAGCCAGCAGCCCCAGCCTCTGGCCCTGCAGACCCACATGACCTGTTACAGCCTCTGGTTGTCACTAGAACACTGAAACATTTTGGTGATGTAGGCATGATCATAAACCAACTGCGAATTAATGTTAATTATCTAGAAAAATTCTGTTAACTTTAGCATTAGGCAATCATAAAAAAATCACTTATAAAGGTACATTTATATTCATTCAAAATGACTCATTTAAAAATTTTCCTCCTGTTACTTTTATTTTTCAAGGTTATAGAAATGGCCAACCATTATTTGATGAATTCTCAACTTAATTCAGCTTAAATATTTCCGTAGGAAGAGTACTAAATTCATTACATGACAAATTCGTAGTTGTTTCTGCATGAAATAAATAATTTCACTCATGAGCATGTTCAAAACAAAAAAACAAAACCAAGAGTTTCATTAAATAAATTTATTTGTTAAAATAATTTAACTCCAAATACAACTGTTGAATTTGCATTGAGTTATAACTACAATTCATGTTTTAATTGAAATGTCAAGGTTTAACAACTGACATTGTTACAAAACAATAAACTGTTGTTCAATTTTAAATGGTCAGTTGTATTAGAGTTGAACAATTAACTGTGAACTATATCTCTGGGAAACCCCAAATCAATAATGACAAGTCTGTTTTCAAAACCTACTGCAGTCATTCTTGAAACCCTGATCAAGATTTAATAGATGCACAATGACAAGTTAAAAAAAGAACAAAGAAAAAGACCCCCATAGTCTTTAACATCTGATTGGCTAAAGAGACAATTAAAGCTTAACCAGCGCTAACACAGGACTATTGATAAGAATAAAATCCAAAAAAATAAAAAATAAAAACCCAACAGCAACAGACAAAACAAAACACTTTCACATTCAGATACTGACAACATTCACACTGGAAAATCCACCCTTGAAAACAAACACCAGACGTTCTTAGGCAACATTCTTTTATACCGAAAAGCAAATATCAGTAGTTTTACCACAGAAAAAATGATGGCAACTGCAAAAGTTCAGTCCTAATCTACAAACCGAAGGGGAAAATCATCAAAGCACCTTTCAATAGTTTAAGGGAAGATTTTTATGTAATACTTCTGATCAGATGCTGGCTTGTTTTGTGTAAGCTGAACAAAATGAAAGGCATCAGTTACCATCACTATCACAGCTTAAAGGAACCCCAAAGTTGCAACATTAAAAGAAAAAGAACTTAAAAATATGCTGCCTTTGAATCAAAGTCAAAAACAAAAGAAAACCTTATCACAAGAGCTAAAGAAAAAGTGGGTCTTTGGATCAAACCATAATATTTTTAAGGCATGTTAGAAAAACTTCCACTTAAGTAGTTGCTAGTCTGATCAGGGCATAAAATAAATAGTGACCCACAGTCACCAACTCTCCTCTGTAGCCACTATTTTTTTCTTCATGTGCCAACAAGTGTAATCTTTCTGTTCTTGAGCTTTTTATTCCCATCTCAGCAAACACATTCATTCAGGCCGAGCTGGATTCCTGCCAGAGGAAGGCTGACAGGGTAGAGGAGGGACTCCCGCTCAGGGACCACTTATGCTCTGTCACTCCCACAGAGGGCTGCGTGGCAACACTGGTCAGGGAGCCGAATCAGCTTTTAGTAATATCCTTATGGTAAAAGTCCACCTGGTCTGACAAACCCTTCTCAGGAAGCCCCAAATTTTCACCTTTTCCACCTAACATGTTGCCAGACCTCTCATTTTCTCACCTATTTTTCACATCTGCATAGCAATCCATGATAGAAAACGTGGAATCTGTACAGCTGATTCTAATATGTAGTCTTAGTTATCATAAATTGCTATGAATTATGAAATTCTAAGAAAATGATCATTACTAGAAGTTAGAGGCTTCAAAACTCAACCAATTCATTAATAAATATTTCTACTTCAGTAGATAAACCATCCTTGTTGAATCTTTGATTTCTCTATGTGTTTGAGTTAAATCAATTTTTACACAGTGAAATCTGTTTCAAGAAAATTGATTAAAACTTTTTGCCCTATAAACAAGGTGCTTCACAATCGAAGGTTATAAAAAATTATACTGAAGAATGTAAATATTCACAATTCAAAGATTTCTCTAACAACCACGGCCTGGTTTCACCCACATTATTTCTTCAGTTTTCTTCTCTATGAAAAATACTATCAACCTTTATTTCTATCTGTAAGCTTAATGCCAGTTACTAAACACTCGGGGGCTACCCACGATTTCAATGATGTATAAAAGATACTTAAATAATTTCAAAGAAAAAAATGTTCTCAATACACTATATTCTGCAGTATAGATTCTCAGTATAGGCAATTATCTCCGACTTGTGCCAAATTCTTAGGAACGATAAACACACATGCACACACAAACACACACTCTTCCCTCAGTTACACACATAAGACCAGAGGTTACTTGCACAAGACTGAAACCAAGAAAATGTGGGGTGGTAGGTATATTGCAGGCTCAGTGATATTGCAGTTCTGAAGGCCAAATTTATCTCCAGAGGGCGGGCTCGAGATAATCTCTTCAGCATTTCTAACTCTGAAGTGAGGTGAAAACCCTTCTACACTTGATTGTAAAACTCCGGAATAGGTTTTTCCTGTGCCATTACTCATGCAAATGATAAATACTTCACGGCTATGGAAACCAAAAATTCAGACCTTGAGCACCTTTTCAAAACAAAATATTCACTCTAGCTTTATTTGCCACTTCAGTAATCAGGGCAAAATTGTTATAAGAAAACCTTTATAGAATTCTCCAGGCAAATTAAAGATAAAAGGCTTTTTGTCCCTAACCTTCCACTCTATAATTTATGTTCTACTTTTAAGCCCAAATTATTTCACATGGTTATTCAATTTTTTAAATGCCTGCAATAAAGCTCTGCTACAGCAAACTGGATTTCCAGAGCAGGTTAGCCAAGGTCACATCATAACCAGAGCCCTTAAAGGCAAGGAGGAATTGGCTGCTTTAACGAACGTAAAAATGCCAGATATCTGTGCTGTCCTGTGCGGTTTCTGCGAACGGGAACCTGTGGCTGCAACATGGCTTCATTTTCCTCTCGTGGTGGTGCTAGTCATCTACTCAGTGCTGCTGTTAGTAAGGCTAGGCATCTCCCCCTCAGCTGCTTCCTTCTTGTTCAGTAAGGAAAGACCAGCCCTGCTCGGGCAACGGAGGCTGGGCTGGGAGTTTTCACTCGGATCCAACCCTCGTGACGGCCTCCATTTCCGTGGCCAAGCAGGTGACTGAACGGATTCTAGAGCCAGACTGGATTTCCACACAACCTTGTTCTGACTTTTTCTCTATCAAGGATTGATGCACGAGTTAGTTCCATGTCACAAATTAGGAGAACATCTATAATTAAGCGTCAACTTTGAGAGACAGAAACGTGTCAGCTGAGCAAGGCTTCCCTGCGACGCTGTGGGCAGGCCAGCTGTTCTCTCACTCGATGGAATTCACTGTTAGAGACTCCATCCCGATTCCTGAAATTCAGTACTCTCGTAGGAAAATATTTCTCCTTTACTTATTTTTTTTTAAAGAAGACAAAATATTTTAATTGTTAAGTGGTCGTAGGAATTCTTCTGTTTTCTCCCTCATAATTATTTTAAATTTATACAACAGGTGCTTCTGTCAACTCGGCGACAACGCCGTCAACGTTTTCAAACTAGATCACCCTGTAGATGGATGGGCTATGCCTTCAAGTTGCAGATGCACAAAGGAGACTGAGGACGATGGTGAAAACTGTAGGTACTGAACCCAAATGTACTCAGAGACATCGGCTGACAGTCACTGCTCGTTTGTGAATAGAGCTGCAGTGCACTGGAGATTCACACTATGCATCCTGCCAACTCTGTGATGGAGTAGACGAAGTTTCTATCGCCTACGATACCGGGCAAATCCTGACCAGGACAGCCAGAGTTGGATGCTATTGTATGTTACAGGCAGAACAGCATGGATCATCTTTGTCAGGCTGAGCAGCATAGTTCATCTGCCTCACGATTTCTGCAAAGAGTTCGTCCACCATTGTTTTACTCTTGGCAGAAGTCTCCATAAAGGGGCAGCCCCATTCTTCCGCAAGGGCTCGGCCTTCATTGGAGGACACTTCTCTCTCACTCTCCAGGTCCACTTTATTCCCAACCAAGATGACTGGCACTTTCTCATACCTACAAAACAAACAAAACACACATAACGTAGCAGTTAGCATGAAGTTACACAGGTAGAATTAATTTTCTCTTTTCCCACCAAATTCCACCATGGTCTCTTCAGTTGCATGAAAAAGTATTTGCACTACTTGGCTTGACACCTACCTGAGGGCATTTTGAAGATGCTCTCAGAATGGATCATAAAATGAGTTTTTCAAAATGATGTTTTTAATTAATCAATTAAACATCCTTTAAAAGTCAAGTTACCTTTCCAGATATAGTTGGGAAATCATTCTCAGAATCTCAGACTAACTCCTCTTAGATTAATCTGAAATATTTTCTGTTCTAAGAGATGCTCACTCAAAATTTCAGTGATCATGTAATAATTAGCTTTAGTGAGTAAACAAACAATTTATAATTGTCAGCATTTTACTATATTCTGTAAGTATTCAAAACCAATAATGTTCTAAGAGTCCCTAAATAATAAACCAAAATAAATGGAAATCATTAAGATGAAAACCACCAAATATGACAATATCTCATCTCTTTATTAAAAGACTGTTACAAATTAGTTAATTGAAAGAGAAACAATTATGGTTCTTTTTAGACTGATAAGTATTAAACATTTCAATCATTAGCCTTATTCAATGTTATTTATCTCTTTCCTTTTTAACCAGAGTGTCTCTGAGTAAATATGTTTGGAAAAAGTTAAATTGATAAAGCTGGTGATAAGAACAAAGAAAAGAGGTCCTAAATTATTTTGAGACATAAAGATGATTATCTTTACAATGGCTGCTCCAGATGTCATAGTGTGGAAAATACCTGGTGCTGATCTGCACATTTACTGTGCATCATCTAAGAAATGCAGCTAATGTATTTTCGTAAGACCACTGTTTTCACCTTAAAGGTCATTTCAAAAGGGTTTTCTGTGTGTGTGTGCTTTTTGTGATTTCTAGTACAAATGGGGGGGGCACTGGGGAGGGCACGCACCCATGTGTGTTCCCCTAAGCAGAATGCATCTCTGATTTATAGGGGAATAGCAAAACTGCACACTAGTGATACCAAATGTGACCAGACACAGTTCATCTGTAAGAAGAGGAAACTACCACATAGTCAAGACTTTACTGAGGCAGGATTCATCAGTTTTCATTGTTCAGGAAACTGAATAATAGGCAGATAGTTACTGTTTGCTATAGTACTTGAACAATTTTATCATCCTATCAAGATGGTTCTGTATTCACTCTAATTTGCTAAACCAAACATATTCCCAACAGAATCTCACTTTCTCTTTGGCACTAGATCAGACTAAGAATGGCCTCAACAAGAGGGCATACTGCAGGCAGTGTGCCATTTAGCAATTTAAAACAACAACAGCTTAAAAATGAGTGGGAGTAACATCAAGGGTAAATCTCGAATTTGGATATGATCATTTTGTAGGAAATAGATCTGGACAACTCCAATTTCTAGCAAAGGACTCTGAATTTACAGTCTATCAACTGTACCTTGTGATTTCTGGTCTTAGATCATGCTGAGAGCTCTGAACACATGACACAAGGACATTGAACATCTTCTAGGACTCTTACATATAAATGATTGTGTGGACCTCTTGGCCTCTGGAAGGACAATTGGCAGAGAGAATGAAGCTGCGCTACAGAGCACCACCCATCAGCTACTCTGCAAATAAGCCCTCTTGACTGACCTGTGCTGCAGAGAAGCTGGAGGAGCTCCGCTGCAGCACCGTCACAATGTCAGTTCTCATGTGTTTACTTGCAAAGATATAACTGTATGTCCTTCTCCTATGGAAGCTCACATGGCTCAGCATGCTTTACACACTTTCCTCATCAGTGAAGTAACTTATAAACATTAATACAATAAAGGAAAATGTATTGGTTGAATTTAAGTTAAAAAATAATTTCAATTTCTGTTAATAATAATTAATAATAAAGAGGAAGGAGATATGATATTACTTTCTATTTTAGTTAAGAAACAAATACTTTAAGAAATACTTCTGGGTTGAAATGCAGTATTAGACCATGTTTTATACTGAAAGAGAAAATATTTCTTATACTCTTAGTTTAAATGCACAGGATTCATTACAATATGCAGATTGTCAAAACTTGCAAAAATATCAAATTATTAAGTTGTATGATACAACTTTAATATACAAAAGTGTGTAAACACCAAGTTTTAAACCAAGATACAACTTTTTTAAACCAAGAATTTGAGTAAACTTTACCAGTAGTCTTATTCTCAAAAGGACCACCACAACATTGCAAACACAGGTCCACATAATAACATTTAATAATGTAGATGAAAACCCAGTCAGTATCAGAGAACCTGTCTATTCTATATACAACTTAGCTGTCAATGGTCATTTCTAAAATCAAGATGCTAAAGACACTATAAAAATGCAGATTAATATCCTCAGAAGATTTTTAAAACTGAGTACAATCTTTAGGGGAAAAATTATGTAGATTTCAGAATACCAGATGGTGATAAATTTTGTCTCTCTTTCTGTTAACATTAAAATTTGGGACAGCAGAAAATATTTTAAACTATGATTTGAAGGCTCTGCTCCCAGCCCTGCCAATGAGAGGTGGCAAGACTAAGCAAATCATTTCCTCCACTTATCTGTATTCCATTTCTTCATCAATGAAAAAGGAAGGAGAGTATCTGTTCCCACTTAACACACAAGGTTACTATGAAGGTCAAATGAGATGATGCTAAGAAATGAAGTACTAGACAAAAGCAGGGTGGTGTTTCTTTCTTTCTTTTTTTTTTTTCAGGGGATGTTTCTTTACTCTCAAGAAATGAGAAATGGCAAAGGGTTAGGAAGCCAGCGAAACTGATCAAAGGTGGTAAAGTTCCTGAGGAGGAGCTAAGCAAGTCAGGGAACTGGAATGAGGTAAACTAGGCAAGAGAGACGGAGTTCAAAGCAATACCAAAGCACCTGACACTGGCCGGTCCCTTCTCTCTCACACCTGTTGAGCCTCATGGTAATGAGGAAAAAGAAGAGCAGAAAAGCATTCTCAAAACACTGGGGACTTAGGAAAGACAACACTGACACTTACGGGGAGGGAGCTCAGAAGTCTTCGGGTTGGCATGACAGATAAGGTCTGGTTGGGAAGTAAGATCTGGAAGAACCTGGATCCTCCCTAAGAAAGGGGGTGAGAAGAGGCAAAGCCACCTGCTGAAACAACAGAGGAAACTGGTGTTGCTGCAGCAACATGGTGTTTCCTTAAAACCCCCAAATAAGACCAGGACTTCAGTCTCAGAACTGTCTCTAGCTAGCGCTGTGAATTTAGATTAACTTAATCTCTTGGTGCCTCAGTGTCTTACAGTCTAAAAGGAGCTGGACTAGATCCTTTCCAAGATGGGCTGAAACTCTGAGGTTAAAAATCACTACAGACATGGGGGCCACACCTACAATCAACACCTATCATTTACCAGCTTAATGGCTGAGGGCTGGGTCCTGTTCTAAGAACAACATCCAACAGGCTCCTCTTTAGAAGAGATAAGTGCACAGGAGCGAAGCCAAAATTTAGGGAACCCTCCTGAGCTCTTGTGGGGCCAAAGCGTTTTCGATTCTACCAGTAAAGCAGCTGCTGCCAGGGCACTCCGACTCACAGGCAGGAGTCAGAGATGTACCAGCACCTGAGCCGCCATGCTTCCCTGACAAGGTCGCTCTAACACAATTATGGGAGATGTTTATAATTAAGTAAATACCCAAGGCCACACTGAAAACTGACTGATGTGACATACCTAACTGGCGGTAAGCACTCAATGAATCATACACTTATTCTTCTATTTAACACATACCTATTTGTTAAGAGCCTACTATGTGCTAGTACCATTGTCCCCACTTACAACATGTCACACTGATTATAGTCTAGCAGAGGACACAGACACCAACAATAAACGTAAGTAAATTACGGGTTTACTAAAAGGTAAAAGGAAAAAGAAAACAGAAATGCAGATCAGGGAGCATGCTGGGGGCACAGGCCCCACTGGGAATGTGGCATGTGAGTTAGGAAATGAAGGGTGTGAGAAGTAGGGACCAGGGAGAACACTCCAAGTGGGCTGTGGCTCCGACTCTGTGCGAGCTGGTGCTCATGCCTGGTGATTCAAGGAAGGGCAAACCAGCCTGTGAGATGATGTGAAGAGCCCCTTACAACTCCTGCAGGGCTCCTGTGGTATGGGAAACATGTTCAGGATGGAGGATCTGGGCACTAAAAGTGGCCTCAGAAGACAAATATGACATAGAGGGCAGGGCCTGCTCTTATTATTTAGGAAGACTGGGCACTTAGCAGCGATGGCAGTTCTTTGCACTTCATGTTCTACTTTCATTAACAAGTTTGTGGGCTGTTTTTATTTCCCTGCTCTTTCTAAACTTTCTGGAGATGAAACCGAAAATGTAAAATTCCCAAACTACTCAAATCAATGTCTTATTGATAACCTGGTCATGAGCAGGATCCATCTTGCCTGCATATTGAGCATTAGCAGGTGTCTCAACAATGGCATATTGTCCTTGGTGGTGCCCTCAAGAGCAAGACCAGGGTCAGACAGTGGCTGTCCAAATCATGAACAAATAATTCTGTTCATGGTCTGTGGACAAACATTTGTTTTATTGACATGAATCTCTATACTGTTTATTGTATTCATGAGCATGAATAAATAAAAACAGTTCTTTTAATGGGTGCTTAACGGGTTGAATGAAACCCCACTTAGTTGTAGAACTGATGGTCCTCTCCGTGCACAGCTTTGTAAATATCAATACCTCAAAAGCATCTGATGTGTCATCAATGGACTTGATTTTCTCACATCTCATTCCTGTCCTGATGTGTGTGTGCATATGTATACTGGTAGTATCTAAACCTGGCTGATCATCAAAACAACCTAAAATTAAAGAATAATACTGATTCCTGGGCCCCACTCTGGAGTTACTAAATCTGAAGGATCAAGAAATATAATACACACATGCTCTGAAGACTGATTCTGAGCTTCAGAAAGTTTAGGAATCA